CTCCGTGTTTAACCGTCTTTTGAATGTATGGTTCCTTAAGAGCGAACCTCGCCAAACCCTTGATCGCCTTTTCTGTCCAAATAACTCAACATTTGCTCTCATCCATCCACAGAACTCGTTTCCAGAAGTCCACAGTCATTCCGGCGTACTTTTTAGCAAATTCCAGTCGCTTCCGTTGGTTCCGCTTGTTGATAAAAGGACGCTTCGATGCCAAACAGCTTTTCAAACCGCTCTCATCAAGTCGCCGGCGAACAGTACGTCGACTTACATTGAGATCCATCGATTCCACAATATGCCTCGACGAATACTTCGGATTCTGCTTAGCCATTCGAACAATTCTGATGTCGTCACGATTACTTGTCGCACGATGACGTCCTTGTCCGGATAAATTCCTCACAATTCCTCGTGTTTCGTACGTTTTCCATATGTGCTGAACAGCTCCAACTGAGATCGAGTACTTTTCGGCAATTTTCGTTTCCTTTTTCACGATCGCGAATCACCAAATTTCTAACATCGAGCGAAATCTGCTTTCCCGACATTTTTCACTTTTCAAATGACGCAAACAAAACACAATGGTGCGATGCGCACGCTTCCCGGAACAAGAACTGTCAAATATTACGCCGTGATGCCAAATCTTCAGATTTTGTTTTTATTCGATGGCTAAAAAATAAAAGCTTAGGAGTGTATGATTTATTTTGTCCAAGCACAAAAGTGAGCATATATTTATTTAAATTTGTAACAAAAACAGCAGAATATAGGGGAATTTACGTATTCTCGGCAACCTAAGCAGCGACTCTCTTTCTATAGCCTTTTTCTCTATGGAACGCACACATATGCAGTATTGGTTTGTTTACAATCTTTTGCTGCCAGCTGCTCTAACAATTTCAGTCGAAAGAATTGTCAAAAACTGTTTTAAAACGCTTTTACAAAGCTCCAATCTTCTCTAGTGAGAGCGAGAATTGTCGGCAACCAGTTTTTCTTCGGCAACCGTTCCATTTGAACTGTATGTAAATCTGCTGTTCTATTATCGGCAACTCGAAATCAGCTACAATTTGTAGTGCGTGTGTTTCATTTCAAGGAAACCTTACTAGATTGCTTTTTCTCAGTGGTAAAAATATAGTCAAATTGAAGATGAAAGCATAAAGAATCGTTTGCATGCATTCAGCGAAGCGCTTTCGTAAGAAAATCCAGTGAAAATAGTGTTTCAATTTGGGTTGCCGAAAATAGTCTGTCATGCCGAAGCCGTCATTTCCCCTAATAACAATTTTCATTCAGCTAATTGAATGCACCATGAGATATACTTGAACTTTTCTGAATATACTGCTGAAATTGCGTGCAAAATAGCAAAAATATGATGTAATGTACTTTTTTGGGTTGAGCGTATGATTTATTTTGTCCAGTACTGTACATCTGATCCGGTTATATCGCTGATGAACAGAAACAGGAATAACCAAACTGACGAATCTCTACCCGAAGATGCTCTTAAACTTTTAAATGTCAACTATTGATACTTGTCAAACTTACTGGGCATTTAAACAATAAAAATCATTGAATTTATCCTTGTACTTTGTTTTTAATATTTATAAATCACTAACTCCAGGCAAAATAGACCATTGTAATATTTAATAAGGTTTGTAATACAGTCTCAGTAGGCCATGTTTGATGTTTTAGAATATAAGGCTATACTCGAAAAAAATGCACCATTTTTATCCGTTGGTAAAAATTGATGAAAATCTGGGTATAACTAGTTTGGAGTGAATTGGATTCTTTAATTTTGAAAAATGTATCGTTTTTTATACATCATCTGAAAGAGCTTCGTCTTCGGAGCACAGCAATATTTTTTTCGAACCCACACACTTTCATCTCGATTTTTAAATCAAGATTTAAAGCAAAATAATAACTTCACTGTTTGACACTAAACTAACAAACTGACAGCTCGCTCCCATACAAAGTGACACCGAGGGGCGCTAATAAGGTGATTTTTGCAAATGTAATCGTACTTATTTAAAATAGTGCCAGTGTACCAAAATCGATGAAATTTTGGGTTTGGGTTCCATTTTTAATGCAGATTGCGAATATGCATTTACCTAAATACCCTTAAAGAACCCAATTGTTTACATGTGCAAAATTTCAGAACAATCGGTTCAGTGGTTATTGAGATGTCATCGAAACAAGAAGAAAATCGCCGGAGAATTTTGCGCGCCGTCATGGAAAATCCGACTGCGACCATGAGATGGATCGGAAGACAACTGGGAATCACCCATACAACTGTGTCACGGGTGGTAAAATCGTTTAAGGAGTCCCAGACAACCGAGCGGTGGTCTGGAAGTGATGAAAATCGAAGACAGCTGACCCTGTGAAGGCCCGGAAGGTGTTGGATTATTTCAAGCGTAATCCGAACCTTTCGATTCGCGACGCGGATCTGAAGGCAAAGTGTTCCGCCTGGTTCGTTCAGCAAACCATGAAACGAGCTGGGCTTCGTGTATTCAAGGTCCGGAAGGCACCGAACCGGCGTGATCAACAAAACACGGCGGCCAAATCCCGCGCAAGGAAGCTCTATCGAGAGTGGTTAACGAAACCGATGTGTGTGGTTATGGATGACGAAACCTACATCAAGGCAGACGCAAAGCAGATACCGGGGCTGGAGTTCTACGTTGCCAAATCAAGGTTTGATGTTCCGGAAGACATAAGGAAGAAGAGAGTGGACAAATTCGCCAAAAAATAATGCGGTAAACTGAGTAAACCGTACATCACAATGGGTACCATCAACAGCGAAATTTACCGCACCGAGTGCCTCCAGAAGCGTCTGTTGCCCTTCCTGCGGTCCCACGAAGGTGAGACATTATTTTGGCCGGACATGGCATCATGCCATTACGCGCGATCAACGTTGGATTGCTACAGAGACAATAACGTTGTTTTTGTACCAAAAACCGCCAACCCCCCAAATGCACCAGAGATTTGTCCGGTGGAAAGATTTTGGGCCATAATGAAGGCCAAAGTTCGAAAATCGTCCAAGGTGTTTAGGAGCGAGCTGGAGTTGAAGAAAGAATGGATGAAAGTGACCAAAAAGGTCGGCTCCACCATTGCACAAAATGTAATTAGGGGTCTTAAGGGAAAGGTGCGGGCTTTCAGCGATGGAAAAGAAATTGAATAAAGTAATTATGTCGAAACATAATCCATATCAGGCATAACATTTGATAACGGCACAAAAGCATTTGTAAACAAACTTTCTAAGGCCCTTTACACGCGAACCAAAGTACGCCCACGCAAACCAATACCACTTTCGGAAAGTTGATAGTTGCACCTATCCGATGATGTTGTAGGTTTGCGTGGGCGTACTTTGGTTCGCGTGTAAAGGGCCTTAGAAAGTTTGTTTACAAATGCTTTTGTGCCGTTATCAAATGTTATGCCTGATATGTATTAGTTCATTCCCTGAAAGTTTCAAGAAAATCCGACTTAAAATAAATTTTTGGCGAACACTTTTGTCTGGTGAATTTTTTTCGAGTACGGGTCTTACCCACCATAAATGTATAAAACAACGATGTTTCGAATGGAATCAAAATTTTGAAAACGTGTTTGCTCCTTTTAGAGATATTGACTATTGAAAAGTGCAATCGCCTTTAACTTTCTAATAAAAAAAGATAGCAACTTCGTTGCTTCAGTAAAATTATTTATCATTGAAAGTTCTAAAAGTGTCTAGACCATCAATCTTACGAGAAATGAACGTATGAAGATATTTATAGAAAACCAATTTTTCAGGGGCCACCCTAACCTGCTTGTTTGAAAAATTCATAACTCATGAACCATAAGAGATGGAAATTTGGTGTCTTGAGCAAAGTTGCTGCAAATCGGTTGTTCTGCATTCTAGAACATTGAACTATTTCACCATTTTTTTATGGACCACCCTTATTTCACTAACATGAAAAGATTGGCCCAAAAATATGAAGAAACTTTCCCCAATACACCATATGCCTAAAACCAACGGTTTTAGCGTAAACATTTTTGTCTTCCAAAATACGCCTTTGGGACCATTGTGCATTGATACTACTCCTAGGATCAATACAATTTTCGTCAATTTTCCTCAATTTCCGGCAGATTTTTGAGATTTTTCACGGGAAACCATGAGGCAAATTTACTCATCGCTGAGTTCCTGCACTTTTGGCGATTATGAATGAACTAAACTCAAATTTGGGTCGTTCTCGTTCGCCTTGTACCTATTCCAGCTCTGCTCGATTTTCTATTCATATGGGACACTTATGTTTTCAAGGGCAGTATATTGAGCGCAGCAGAATAGTTGAAGGCGCTATCCAACGGAAACGGATTGTGTGGTTTTGAAATTCTTTCTTCTCACCCTATTCACTTATTAAAGGAGTAAACAATTTAACTCACTTGCTTATGCCAAAGAAAGACTTCGTAGATCATTATTGCTAGCTACTTCTTGAAGTTCTGATCACGTACTGATAAGAAAAAAGTTTTGCTTAGTTCACGTCTTGCTAAACACGATTGCATAAACAAGTTTTATTATCAAGCGCAACAAATGAGTCCGAGTCTCTAAAACAGCACTGATCCACAAAACTGCGTGAATGATTATAAAACCCTATTCAGAGCATCATGACAGGCGTAACATTTGAAAACGACGCAAAAAGCTTTTTTAAACAAAACTTGTAACAGGAGAATTTCCCCTACACGATGATGTTGTTACGTTGCGTGGGTGTACTTCGGTTCGCGTGTAAAGGGTCTTCTGGCTTTTGTTTACAAAAGCTTTTGGGCCGTTTTTAAATGTTACGCGAGATGTATTCAAAACAAGTTTATGTCTTATCGCGTTATAAAATGGGATCCCCGCCCAGTTTGACCACGACGCTACCAGGAAATTCCCATCAAGTTTGAGATGTTCTATTCAAACTTCACTTTGAGCCCTCCGTAGTAAACTACGACTGCGACTAATCCCATAAACCGAGTAAGTTGTAGTATTTGATAGACGCAACAGCACTATTACTTACCCTCTTCAGACTTTTTCTCGATCCGGTGCCACCAACGGAATCCCCCAGCGGCAGCGATAGGGAGATGTGCTCTTTCCGCAAATCCATCATTCTGGGCACCTTCTTCTACTCACACCTACTAGTCTGCTTGATGTTACAACGTTGTTCAAGCGTATGGTATGCTCCGCATTAATATTTGATTATAATTCCTCACGGACGGCTCAGTATACAGCTTCACTTTCCTTGGCAGCTGTTCTTTTATTTCACACTATAAACCCAATTCCATTCTCCCATAACCGCAACCGGAGCTACTTTTGGTCGTGCTGAATTTCTTAGCAGCAGGAAAAGTGCCCAGGTAGAACTCCTCCCCTGCCGCCAAATCGATTGCCTTCTTGCCTTTTTCCGACACAGCTGAATAAACAGTGCGAGGGCTTCACTGATGCCACATCAAAATTCTTTTTCGTTTCGGTGATAATTTACATCTCGTCGTCGCCACTAGGGTTGCACCTTTCAATTACACGTAGCCAAAATTCTATTTCGTGGCTATGCTATTTTTATTGCTCGATTAGATCTTCCTAGACCTCCCCGTCCGCCCTGCCGTCTACAACACACAGTCCGCTTCACGGAAATCGGTTTTGCACGTCGTCCCTTCCAAACAGCTGCCGTATTTCGTTGGCACAGGTAATAACGAGTAATCTTCCACTGATTTTCACAAATGCAAACCACCGCAACAAATGAGAAAAACGCTTTTTCTGCAAATAAAAATCTAAGCCACTTGCAGAACAGAAGTAGTCTTTTTTCGAACGATTTATGTTGCTGATGACAGTTTGCCAACAAAACGCGAAGACCGAAGAGCGATAACATAAAGTCGCTGTCAAACGTCGGGCGATGAAATCGTGTGCGAAAGTAGGGTGGTTCTTTCGTTGAAAACGACTGCGGGAAATGTTTCACTGCACGGTAACAGCAAAATACCCAATAGTTACTATAAATGACTCGATATTGACCTAAGAGGAAGAAGAGACAATACGGGCGGGGGTGAAAACGAACCACTTTTCTGTCAAACGCGAACCAGCTCGTGATTGGTAGATTTGAAGTGCGTAAAACGCTGTCCAGACTGGAGAGTTATAACATGTTATAACGGTTGTCAACTAATTGCAACACAGAAACCACCATCAAGATAGCGCTATAACATGTTATAACCATAGAGGTAACTCTAAGACTACACTGAAACAAATCGACATGTACCGTTTATTGGATCCATCTTATAACATAGCAATGTCAGCAGATTTATTCATTCTATGTGATGATTGATAGATTCCATTTAATTATCACTTAAAAACTATGACTGCGATATGGAATGATTTCTATCGTAATTTCACATACTTAGTACTTGATAATACTTTGCTTCGAACGTGGTTAGCGAAGGTAAGAAGTATATGAATATTGTCTGATATATTTCATGGTGAAAAACTGTTGATATGTCATGGGTGGGAACAGACATCTAGAAACTAATGGAAAATCATATAAGTTTGCACTATGAGAAAATTCAGTAAAATATACCTGTGTTCATGATGAATATTGCTCACTAAAATATATATCTTATAATATAATCATGTATATTTTATTGGAGTTGCTTTTACTGATTTTTGACGTTTGTTGATATGTCGCGTGTAAATAGACATGTAGAAACTATTGGACTGTCATTTAACTTTGCAGTATAGGAAAACATGTATATCTCATTGTAATAGCATGCTTTGATTTTTGACGTTTAAAGATTGTAAACAGATCTATCCCAATCATTAAATAGTCATATAGAAATGCCTTTTAAGAAATCCAACAGCAAGCATTTGTTTTTGCATGTTTTTTCTGGGATGAATATCGCTCCCAATAAAATACATCTTACATGATTGTTCTTTATAAATTATTGAAACAATTTTCAACGATGTTAACGTACACTCATTAAAATGATTAGTTGAACTAAATACTACTAACAACAATGATACTGTATTGAATAATCTTTGTTTGTTATTGTTTCATATGATAATTGGTTCCAGAAAAGAATGTATTGAGATTGAAAAAAAAATGATTCTACTGTAATATTTACTTTGCTATGATTCTAGTTGTAAGCCTTCTACACGGCTAATTCAGATTCCAGCCCTAAGTAGTATTCGAACTTCATGAGCCAGTTCTATCAAATCATATAATTTAGTCGTTGATTTATTGCACACAGGTGCATTAAGAAAGATTTGAACAAACCACACCACCGAAACGGAACATAAATTTGTCAGTGCTATTTGTCTTCACTCTAGCAAAACGAGCATAAAGTTGCACCACAAACGAAGTTTGTGGTTGCACTACATTCCATGTCGGGAGAGCTGTTCTTACTTCATGCTATTTGAACGAGCTCAATTTTGAAGTCAGCCGTGGCCCAGTAGAATCGAGCACAGACACCGAAAGCATCACACCTCAACAGATCTTGATCGAATCCCAAATCAGCTACAATAAAAAAAAGGCACAACTGTGAAAGCTCCCACTGCCTGATGTTTATTTTTCGAATTTATTTTTAGAAATCGATTAAATATATGTGTCAAAAGAAGAAGTAAATTTCATGTTATTTTCACATAAACTTTACTTCGATTGATTTATGACACATATATTATATTGTGGTGAAAAGTATAGCTTATGCTTATGGGTTTCAAATCCATTTCAGTTAATTATTATAATTTGATCGATTTTCATTTATCATATGACGATCATATAAAAGTTACCAAATTATCAGCATTGTACATGTATCAGATATTCATATAGAATTTACCTGACACATTTTCAATCATATCATTTTCAATGGATTATCTTATAGCGCAAATTTATTAGACTTCCACATAACAGGAATATGTCAAATTCGTTCAGTGTAGAAGGTCCCAAAATAACGTGCTCAACTTTTTGGCTCAGCTCTGGTACTCTCTTCGGTCCCAAGCTAGTCGATTCACCCCTCGAAACATAGGAAAATCCAATAACCCCTCATTTTATCTGTCAAACTTTCATAGCGAATCAAAACAAACATTGTGTAGTAGTAGAATTTCGACTAGAATGGGGTACGTTAATCGTTTGCTTGGGACCAATAGGCTAGTCAATTAGTGAGCCAATTTAAAATCGTTAGTTTCGTATTGATTGTTGTTATAACCGAGGGGCAATTCACTGCTCTCAGAAATGAATCGAAAATACGTGAATGAAAAAAATACACAAAAATTCATCATAACTCGTCATTACTCAAAAAAATGCAAAAAAATACAAAATTCGGAAAAAAAATACACAAATATTCGACGAATAATAAAAATACACGATAATTCGTCATTTGCACGAAAAATTCGAAATATGTACAATCAAAATGCTGAATTCGGACAAAATGCGTAAATTTATTATTTTATATTTTAATCCGAGCTCGAATCACAAAACAATGCATTAATGAGTAGGATTTCACCCATTTTTAAGAAAAGTGCCTTAAATCGTTTATTAAATAAAAAAAACATTAATGAGTAGTTGTGACCCAAAAATAAGTAACGAAGGCGTAACAGACTTGGTAACAGATGCTTATTTATGCGTAATGAGCGAGGTAAGGGGCTGTTCATAAACTACGGGGGGGGGGAGGGGTTAGTTGGCAATTATCCACGGCCCATACACATTTTTAAAGTTTTGTATGGACAATTGTCAACGTAGGTGGGTGGGGTGGCTCAAGAATCTGTCTACGCAACTAATGTCAAGCCCCTAATGAGTTTATGAGTTAAGCCTCTTTTCTTTAAATTGGGTGAAATTCTACTCATCAGTGGGTATTTCAAAGTTAGCGTGTGCTGTGCATTTGTCAAACAAAACGTCAACATTGTGAGTTTGATCCGTTTGATAATCGGTTCGAGTGGTAAACATAAACACTGAATTGACAGAATACACTTATAACTGATTTTCAATACATTAATGCATAAAAATACACTTTTATTTTTCTAATACACAAAAAATTACATATATTCAAAAAGTGCAAAATAATACATTAATACGCAAAATACACGTTTATTCGATAAAAAATACTTCAATACGTTCATCAATACGTTGGCCTGAATCGAAAATACACAAGTGAATCGCCCCTCGGTTATAACTCTGTAGTCTGAACGTACTATAAGATAGAGATAGAGATAGATATAGATACAGATAGAGATAAAGATAAAAGAGTAAGAAGCCAGTTGTCTCTTCTTCCTCTCAGATATTGACTACAAAGTATAGACAACAATCAATACGAAACTAACGATTTTAAATTGGCTCACCACTTTAGTAGCCTATTGGTCCCAAGCAAACGATTAACGTACCCTATTCTAGTTGAAATTCTACTACTACACAATGTTTGTTTTGATTCGCTATGAAAGTTTGACAGATAAAATGAGGGGTTATTGGATTTTCCTACACTATGTTTGTTTTGATTCGCTATGAAAGTTTGACAGATAACATCAGGGGTGTGTGGATTCATGCAGAACATGCAGGGGTGAGTGAAATAGCTTGGGACTGCTTGGGACCGTTGTTCTGGTACTGAGTGAGCCAAAAATAATAATGATTTTCTTTGGGACCCAGTGGTCTTAGAGTTACCTCTATGGTATAGACTTATCTGACGTTTGTGAAATGCACAAGTATTAGTGCAGAACTTTGGGTAAATTATAAGTATTAGTGCAAGAAATCCTTTAAATTATCCAAAGTTCTGCACTAACACTTGTGCAATTCACAAGCGTCAGAGAAGTCTATAAGCATTTTCGAGGGTGACTGATGGGACTACCCCTGAGGGTGCGACACATCTAAATCTCAATTTTAGATATTCGAATCACTCTACGAAAAATCTTTTTTTCATTTCTTGCATCTAAATCCATCGACTCGCATCGCTCTCCATCTTTTTGCAATCTCCATGAATCTTCTTTCTATCTACTAAGCGTGCGCGCATCACACAACAGCAAAGCGAAACTTTTCCTGCATCCCTGATAGAGTCACACCCATGTATTAGTATTTGTTACTCACACATTAATACCATAGAGGTAACTCTAAGACCACTGGGTCCCGAAGAAAATCATTATTATTTTTGGCTCACTCAGTACCAGAACAACGGTCCCAAGCAGTCCCAAGCTATTTCACTCACCCCTGCATGTTCTGCATGAATCCACACACCCCTGATGTTATCTGTCAAACTTTCATAGCGAATCAAAACAAACATAGTGTAGTAATAGAATTTCAACTAGAATAGGGTACGTTAATCGTTTGCTTGGGACCAATAGGCTACTAAAGTGGTGAGCCAATTTAAAATCGTTAGTTTCGTATTGATTGTTGTTAATACTTACTACTTATTTTTTCAGTTGTAATTACTCATAAATAATTATTTTTTTTAATTTATT